CACACACACACCAAAAGCAACATGTAATTGAAACTAATAGAGAATTTGTTGAAGATGTAGCTGTAGTGGTAAGATGCTTGCTTGCCTAATAGAAAAAGGTCCTGAGTTTAAACCTCAGTATATCCAGAAAAAGACAGTGAGAGACAGAGACAGAGAGAGAGGGGAGAGGGGAGATAGATAGCTGATGTCCTGTTGGGTTGCTGGGCTGTATTACCCAGTATCCATTGTGAACATTGCCCATTCTCCCCTCCAGGCTGATGCTCGGGGCATACACTTTCCAACAAAAGATACTTCCTGCTTCTTTTTTGTTTCTGGATCCTATAGTTTGGGTGGGACTTCTGGAAGCTCCTGGGAGATGGAAGTGAAAGTGGAGAGATAAAGACCCATAAGGCCCGTTCCTGGGCTATAAAGTTAGGGCTAGGAATAAGAGCCTCTCCCTCTCCCAATAGTCAGCCACCATACGACCATCTTACTGCACTCTCCAGTTCACGGAGATAGAAATCTGCCAGACTCACTTTTGACCCAGCACCCCCCCACTCCATTACCAGTAATCACTACTCTGTGTGTAAAGTAGTTATTGTGCATGGGATTGCTTTCTTCATTTCTATTTCAGATAATTGACTGTTGTCATCTGAAAATGTTACTGCCTTTGTATGTTGATCCTGGATTCTTCTACTCTATTGACTGTTAGTCCTCACTGAGTTTTGGTGGTAGTTTTGAGATTTTTCTACTTGTATGTGACTGAGTCATCTTCACACACATCTTCACACAAAGAAGATTGTGAGAAGATGGGACCTCTTCCTCCAAGAGGCACCTTTCCATTCTGAATTCGTCTGCTTATCATTGTTTTATAAGCTTCTTTGTATCTTTTGAAAATATTTTGTGGCTTAAATTTCTCTTATATTGACTTCTGTTCTCTTTTACTTTCCTATCTGCATGGATTCTTTCTTGTCTGTTCTTTTTCTTTGTCTCTCTTCTCTACAGGACAGGAGTGTTTAGTAAACACTATGCAACTGAGCGTTGATTTTACTCTGTCCATTTACTATAACCATACGAAGTATTTTAATTGGAGAGACTGAACCATTGAGATTCAAAGTATTAATAGATAAAGGAATTTAATCAATGACTTTCCAGCTGTTTTGTAGCTCCTTTCTTCCTCTCAAAACTATTTCCTTGGCTGGATATTGGTGAGTCATGCCCATAGAACTAGCTGTTCAGGAGGCTGAGATCTGAGGATCTTGGTTTAAAATCAGCCTAAGCAAGAAAGCCTTTGAGACTCATCTTTAATTAACTAGCAAAAAGCCAGAAGCAGAACTGTGGCTCAAGGGGTAGAGCACTCACCTTGAGCAAAATAATTAAATAAGTAAAGCTCAGGGACAACATTCAAACCCTGAGTTTAAGCCCCAGTATTAGCACACAAGAAAAAAAAGTATTTCTTTGTAAGTAAGTGATTTTTTAAGGGGAATTCAATCTCAAGACACAAAGAAACACCTTTTGAGAAACTGAATCTGGTGTCTCTATAAGAAAGCAGGAGACTTTGGAAGGACTCAAATCCCTCAAAAACTTGGAGCTTCCAATGGACTTAATACTGTTAGGAAACTGAGCCATGAGGGTAGTAAAGAAGGAGCAGAAAAACAATCTCAGCAAACGAGATCAACTCTCATAGACAGTTGCGGAGGGATGCCATGGTGACCTGAGAAGACTGGGGTGGTGGGGGCTACATAGGGTCTGCTCAAGGGACAGGATTACAGGGAGCTCAAAGAGTCTTGCGAGAACACAGTACAGGTCTGGCAGGTCCAGGAATCTATTGCCCAAGTCCCTGACCCTGCTTCTAGGAATTCCAGTGCCCATCACCTGGGGCTGGAGAAGAAGAAATGGATTTCACCTTTAAGAGTCTTAAGAAAGTCTCATCCACCAAGATGCCAAGATGGCGCCACTTAGACCCAGTATCCGTATTTCAATTTCTTCTTAGAGCATGTTTTGGATCCTTTTCTATATCTCTATCATAATTTTTGGTTTGTGGTTGTCATGACACTTATACCCCAAGTTCGATTGCAAAGCAAAACCTTGTAATTTTATTTCATTGCACCCTTGGATTTTGAATTTTGATGTCACAATCAACATCTTTATTGCATATCTGGTAGAAACTTGTTTATAGTTATTCATTTTAGCAGTCTTGTCTTTAACCTTAATATGAAAGACATATGATTTACATTTTACAATGGCATTTTTTATTGGTGCCTCTTAAATTCGATCCTGTGTATATTTTTACCAGGAAGTTTTTTATCCTCTCTGATTTTCTCAAGTTCTTTTCTTTCAGGCTGAAGAACTCCATTTAGCATTTCTGGTAAAACAGGTCTGGTGCTGATGAAGTTTGTAGGATTATGTTTCTTCATGAAACCCTTGACGTGTATCCTTTAGTTTTCAAGGACAGTTTTGTAGGGTAAGTAACTTTGGTTTGTAGATTTCTTTCCAAGAGTGCCTTGAATATGTCATCAAACCTCCCTGGCCTCTAGGATCTCTGCTGGGAAGTCTGCTATGTGTCACACTGGAATTTTCTTACATGCTATTTGTTTGGTTTCTTTTGCTGCCCAGGATCTTTTCTTGGCTTTCACCCTTGAAGTTTTGTTCATGCTATGTCACAATGTAATCTTATTTTGGATTGAATCTGATTAAAGATCTTTGATCTTCTTGTATCTTACACTTGTATCTTTTTCCAAGTTTGGAAAGTTTTCTGGCCTTATTTCTTTTTAAAAACAGCTGTCTCCCCCTTTTCTCGAATTTCTCTTGAGTGCCCCCAACACATACATGCTGTCCTTTACTTGCTGTCTTTTGAATTTCATAAGCTTTTCTCTCTCTTTATTATTCTTTTTCTACTCACTACATTTTTTGAGGGGGTTGTCAGTTGTGGGGCCTGAACTCTGGGCCTGGGCACTGTCCCTCAGCTCTTCAGCTCAAGGCCAGTGCTGTACCACTTGAGCCACAGCGCCACTTCTGACTTTCTGTTTATGTAGTGCTGAGGAATCGAACCCAGGGCCTCACACATCAAGGCAAGCACTTACCACCCAGCCACCTTCCCAGCCCCCTCACTACATACTTTAAAATACCTATCTCTGACCACACTCAGATTCTCCCACTACCACCACCACCCTGCCCTTTTTTGTGCTGGAACTGTAGCTTGAACCCATTAACCCTATTTGAAAATTTAGACTTTGTTGCTGGAGAGGGAATTAGTCTACTGTTTTGTGATGGATCGTTTTATTTATACATACGCATATGTCTACACAAAGTGCACTGAGTAAATTTTATTAAGATTTTTGAGTTTATGTTTATACAAGATTAGAGGATAATTTCCTTTCATGTGATTAACTTTGCAATATTTTAGTATCATAAAATTGAGATTCTCGCTAGACACTGGTGGCTCATACCTGTAATCCTAGCTACTCAGGAGAATGAGATCTGAGGATCATGACTCAAAGGGATCATAGTTCAAAGCAGCTTGGGCAGGAAAGTCCCTGAGACTCTTATTAACCACCAAAAAAAAAAAAGTGGAGCTGTGGCTCAAAGTGGTAGAGTGCTAGCCTTGAATAAAAAATAGCTCAAGGACAGTGCCTGGGCCCTGAATCAAGCCCCACAAATGAAAAAAAAAGTGATACAAAATGTGATTGAAAATCCAGAAGGTCTGAGTCAGTGCCTGGAGCTGCAGAAAGATTTCTGGAAAATGAAAGCAAAATCACTTCGCTAAGGTTTAAACCAAGTAGAAATGGTTGTTTTTCTACATGTGAACTACAACTCTTAAAGTTCAGCCAACCTAGAGCTAGAAAACAGCAGCTCAGGTACACAAACAACAATAGCAAAAGGACGCAAAGCCTTCAGGTAGCCACAAGGATGAACTAGAAAGACAGGGAAGACATTGCAGAGAGCAAAACTTTGGCTTCTCACATTTGGCTCAAGTTCTACTGGGTGCACACAGTAATGAAACTATTTTTTAAAAACATTGCTTGCAAAGGTGTATTCTAGCAACCAAGCAAGTTGGAGCCACACACATTTTAGCAGAAGAACAGAAAGAAAAAGTACCTCCACAATTATTTACCCTGCCATTCACATTCCAAAATGTCCTCAAGTTAAATTTTATCAACAAATGTAACTTTGGTACATTTCTGGAGATTCTGAAAAGAATGAACTAAAATAGAAAACATTAGTTACACATTAAACTTAAGTCCCACACTGAGTACAAATTGTTTTTTTTTTCTGCCCCATAAATCTTGAAAGCACATTGTTAATAGCCCATCATCTTGCTTTGTCTTTGTGATATGAGGGTGGCATTTAAATCTTAATGTGTTAAAAGGAAGATCTCAAGGTGGCTCATGCCTGTCATCCTAGCTACTCAGGAGGCTGAGATCTGAGGATTGCGGTTCAAAGCCAGCTGGGGCAGGAAAGTCTGTGAGACTCTTATCTCCAATAAACCACACAGAAAATCAGAAGTGGTGCTATGGCTCAAGTGATAGAGCACTTGCCTTGAGCTGAAGAGCTGAGGGACAGTGCCCAGGCCCAGAGTCAGGTCCCACAACCAACAAAAAAATAAAAAATAAAAAGAAGGAAGATCTCATAGGCAACCATATCTGAGTCCAGATATGTAAGGGGACAGACAAACTGGATTGCATGTTCTGGGAAAGACAACTCTTTTATTGTCTCAAAAAAAAATCACAAGGTTTACCTATATTCTGTTAATCAGAAGTATTCCATTAATTTAACTTAGGATTGCTAAAACCACAACATAAAGCAATACCCTGAAAAGAAGTGAGTCCATGGAAGCAGAGCAGGTAGACTAGGAAGTCAGACCTGGATGTTATTTTAGTGTCTCTTCCTGGGGAATGAAGGAAACGGTTGATGTTACACTGATGCACTTCTGCCTTCCTGTCCTGGGAACCACAGCTCCCCCTGTCGGTGGTCCTCCACTGGAGGTGACAGACACAGACACCCTGCGGTTCCCTGGCATGATGAAGCACAGCAGCCTCTTCCTACTCATGGTGACCGTCCTCCTTTGCCTCCACCTGGCTCAACCTAGATTCTTGTGGCGTAGAGGTAAGGTCTGACAGTCCTAGGGATGCTGGGACAGGGAGGTGGCACTTGGAAAGGAGATGGCCCAATGCAGGAAGCAGCTGATAAATGACCCAGGTTGGTGCTGATTCTCTCTGTGTACCTCAACGGTGACCTTGACTCACCTTGCGACTTTTTTTTTTGTAGGTACTGAAAAATCTGGGTATTGCCCCGAGTTTCATCTTGACTGCCGTTTCACCCTGCTCCCCAAGTGTAATCATGATCGGGGCTGCAAGGAAGATAGGAAATGTTGCTTCTACTATTGCCGAAAGCAGTGTGTCAAGCCGTGGTGGACTTTGAACTGAGGTGACAAACCCCAGATCTGTTCCTCTCTGTCTCGTCTGAAATCCTCCTGCAGAGTCACTATCCTTCAATGATGCCCTAAAACAGTCTGTCGCTCTGGAACTCCCTGTGATCAGAGGTTTTTAAATGGGGGGTGAGGGGCGGATGTACCCTTCATTTCATGGAATGGCACCATGCTTCTCTGTACAGCAGGTATATTGGGGCAAAATTTATCTCTCAGCTCTTTTTTTTTGGTTGCTGTGAATGGATTTTTGCTATGATGATTGCTTTCCAATCCTCTCCCCTCTCTCTCTCTCTGTTTATTTTTAGAATATTTTTATGGTGTGTGCTAATGAAATATTTTCCACCTCACATTTAAATTGTGTGGTCAAGAATTATGAGATCTGAATTCCTTTGTGTGGCTTGCCAAGAATCCCTGGCTCTCAGTCCCGGATTTCTTGGCATTATATCTCAGTCTTCTTGGGAAGAGAGTGCCTAGGAGGCTCCAGATCATGGTGGTCCTGGAACCAAACAGCCATATCCCCAGCATAGTTTGTATCTGTTTCTAGCTCTGATTCTCCTCTCCTTAGGTGGAAACTTCTCCTTAAACAAGTCAGAAGATAGGTGTACTTCCGGCTCAGACTTGGATAACCATGCTCCAATCTTCCCCCTGCTTCTCCCAGGCCCCTCCCTTCCTGCCTTAGGAGTTAAATGCTTATGGATATGAAAATAAAATGAAGAAATAAAGTCCTGCGTGTTAGTCCATCTTCTGTTGCTACAACAACCTGAGGTTGGGTGCTATAGAAAGAAAAGAGGTAATGGGGAGAGAGCAAGGGAAGGAATGATACTGTCCAAAAAGAAATATACTCTTTAACGGACATATGTAACTGTAACCTCCCTGTACATCACTTTTATAATAGAGATTTATTTAACTCAGTGACAGGGGTTCAAGAGTGTGTCACCAGCATCTTTTAGCTCTTGTAGAACCTTACAGCAAACAGTACCACTGTAATGAACCATGATGCATGCAGAAGGAAGATTCAGCAGAGGTGCCAGTCTCCCTTAAGATACCTATACTGGGGCTGGGAAGGTGGCTCAGTGGTAGAGCGCTTGCCTTGCATGCATGAGGCCCTGGGTTCAATTCCTCAGCACCACATAAGCAGGAAAAAAAAAAGCTGGAAGTTGCACTGTGGCTCAAGTGGTATAGTGCTAGCCTTGAGCTGAAGGGCTGAGGGACAGCGCCCAGGCCCAGAGTTCAGGCCCCATGACCGGACCAAAAAAAAAAAAAGATACCTGTACTGGAGCCAACAAATCCATTCCCATGAGATCTCCCTGATTGATTGATTGATGGTTTAGGTTCTGGAGCTTGTACTCAGGGTCTTATACTTGCTAGGCAGACAGGCTACCATCTGAGCCATACCTCCAGCTCTTTGTTGATCACTTTTGAAGATGTCATTTCCATGATCTAATTACCTCTCACTAGGCCTCTACCTCTTAAAGAAAACTGCTCTCTCTCTCTCTCTCTCTCACTCGCTCGCCATCCTACATTCATCTTTTTTCAGCATCTCAGCTTTTCAGATTCCAGAGGTACACGTGACAGTCAAATTTTCAGTGCTTAGATCTCATGAGAGGGCAGATACATTATCCTGGGATAGAAGAACAATCTGGTTTTGCTACAGTTTCTCTGGTACTGGTGTTGGCAGTCTTTCTACTTGTTGACCTAGGAGTAGATTTGGAACTCTGGGCTGGAGATGAAGCAGAGCATATCTTAGTTCTAGAGAACATCAGGTCCTAAAATGTATACTCTAATGCTGCAGCATACTAAGAAAAGGAATTTTCTCTGTAGTTCAGCCTTCAGTAGGCCTTGAGCCCCTAATTTTTCTAAGAATAGAGTGTTTTTCACCTTGAGTGTCCTCAGTGGATAACTCTATGCATCCATCTTTCATAAGGGCCACAATAGTAGCAGAGAGATGGAAAAACTGTCCTTGGTCTGTGATGGATACCATACATTTTGAAAAGCTTTGTAACCTGTAGCCAGCTCTGAATTGACATCTAATATTTTTATAACAATTCAGTCACTAGGAATAACATTTTAGGTACACAGTGAATGCAGTTATATACATTAAACGGGCGTATTACTTTTTTCAGTGTTGCTAGTGAAATCATAAGCTGTGTATCTGGCTGGATGCCCAGCTCCAGAGATTCTAACATATGAAGCCTGGTTACTTGCTTCCAATAGGCTCATTAAAGAGAGGGTTGGTGACGATCAGAGAAAGGAGACTAATGCAACCAATTGGAAAGAGAGAACAAGCACTTATGTATCCATGTGGGTACATAAGCTAAATGAGTTTAAACAGAGGAAGAATACATGTTGGGGGCAGGAGGTGTACAGAATTAAGCAATTCCTAGGTAAAGTGTGATCTGATTGATCTTGATCTCAGTTCTGGTTGTGGGAGGGGTTGGAAGCACTGTCACTGCTGACATTTCTTCAGGAGAACCACCAAGTCCCCATGAGTCAGCTCGAGTCCCTATGATCAAGTCCTCATGATCAGCGCAACTCCAGGGTACAACCTCGATGGTAGAGGTAATTGTCCTCATTTGCGGGGGAGGAGGGTAATACCCTGCAAGGCTCAGTGTTGCCTGGGGTACGTTTGGGTCCCTTGTCATGGAGACGGATCCACAGCTGTCTTTCCAGGGTGACTGAAGGGAAGAGAGACTCAGAGCAAAGGTGGAAGATGCAAAATGGAGGCAGGGATACCAAGCTTGTCTCCCACACTTGGTTAATTTGTAATCCTAAGGGAGGAATCTGTGTGTTTTTTAGCAAAAGAATTTTCTGAGTACCTGTTATGAATGTAATTTCTTTCTCCATTCGGTGAAACTAATTTTAAAAGAAAAGTCCAGCTAGGCACTGGTGACTTATGCCTGTAATCCTAGCTACTCAGGAAGCTGAGATCTGAGGATGGTACTTCAAAGCCAGCCCGGGCTTATCTCCAATTAACGACCAGAAAACCAGAAATGGCACTGTGGCTTAAAGTGGGAGAGCACTAACCTTTAGCAAAAGAACTCAGGGACAGCTCCCAAGCCTGGAGTCCAAGCCTCATGGACAAAAAAAAAAAAGAAAGAAAGAAAGAAAAGAAAAGAAGAAAAGAAAGGAAAGTCCCCAGGCCCTTTCACAAGCCTCTGTTGTAGCAGTTACTTTGGACAAAATGTTACTAAAGGAACAATTCTTTCTCCTCCTTATTCCCACCCTAAGACTTTTATAGAGATAGATCTGTGGCTAACGGGACTGCCAAGTGAAAGGCATCCTACAGAATGATTTCTGCTATCAAATCTCAGTGGCCGTGAATAGTAACACAGTTACACTCAGCTAATCTACTACTGTGGGGGTAAAAGATACATCCTCCCGGATGAAAGGCTCCTGCCTGCTTCTCGGCTTTGAGTATCCTTCCTGGGCCTGCCTGAGTAATAAAACTATAAATGCACCTGAGGATGATGACCCATCCCCTAGCAACTGGCAGCCAGTATGATTTTTTAAATGGAATCACCTTCTCCACTTGCTGAAAATGAGCAATAATTCAGCCTTACTGTGATGACACAGACAATCTCCTTGAATGCCTTAGTCGAAATAATTATGGATCATAACCTCACTCTCTTGGATTTCGTTATGGATGACTAACCGGAGGAAGGGGTGACTGTTGTCTTTTTTTTATTACTTTTATTTGAAAATGCTAAAAACAGAGGAGCTACAGTTACATCAGTCAGGCAGAGGGTACACTTACATTCGGGCAACTTTATTCCTCCCCTCGCTCTCTCCCAGTTCCTCCCTTGGACCCCACCCACAAGCTGTATAACTCATTTTCAACATAGTGACCAGTAAGGACCATTGCTATGTTTGTTCACCCTTTGTCCTTCCATTTCTGTTCCTCCCAAAAACTGATAGACTAACAGACAGAACAAGAAGAAAAGAAAAACAGCAAAAAAGAAAAAAAAAGTCATTTCCATTTCAGTAAACATTATTATTTTAGGGGGGGAGGGTCCGGTCATGGAGCTTGAACTCTGGGCCTGGGCACTGTCCCTCAGCTCTTCAGCTCAAGGCTAGCGCTCTACCACTTGAGCCACAGCACCACTTCCGGCTTTTTTATTTTTTCTTATGTGGTGCTGAGGAATCGAACCTAGGGCCTCATGCATGCAAGGCAAGTGCTCTACCACTGAGCCACCTTCCCGGCCCTCAATAAACATTATTTTATCTGATCAGATGCCCATAAGCATGGTGCCTTTCTGATCCTCTCCTAAGAATGTCCCTTGTCATTTTAAACCCACAAATAATGTGTGATAGTCCCTGAGCTAACAGGAAAGATGACATGACTCTCCAAGATAAACTCTGGTGGCTGGGATAATTTATATTAACAAGGCAGGAAAATCTTCAATCTTGACTCTCCAGATCCTTCCAAAACAAATCTAGCTTTTCTTTCTCAAAGTCAATTTATTGTGTCCAGAACCAAGCACATTTAACTGTCAGTAAGAGACAAGGAAATTCAGCAAGCTCTAAGGCACATGGAGTATAGAGGAGGACCACCCTGATCCATGAGCAAACACCACTTCCTGCTACCATAACACTCAGGTTTTGAACCTTGAATTCTAGGCCCCACCCCTCAATTCACATGTCCCTCCCCCAACACTAAGGCCCTGCCCCTTACCGCTCAGGCCTGCTATTCCAACCCACCAGGCAGACCCTGGAGACAGGAAGGGAATGAATAGAGACCCTTATCTGCCACAGAGGAGCCTGTCTACAACTAACTCGAGCTGAGAACGTGAAGATGGCCACCAATCACCCAACTAACAAGTTCTTGCTGCACACAGATCACATCCCTGTGGTTACATGGTTATTAGCAGAAAATCTGAAGAGACCCCCATTTTCTACAGAAAACACACATGAATCCAAGAGGAGACAAACAGAATTAGGAGAGAGAAGATACAGTAGAAAGAGGTCTGGAAAAAAAACATATCAAATGAGGAAAAGAAAGACCCAAATGTGCCTCTGCCAAAAAACAAGAGGAAGAAACAGGAAAAGGAAATTGACATTTATGCAAAACTCTTTGGTGAAAAGGTTACAAGTAGAAAAGACTCAAAATCAAAAATAAAAAGGAAGATTGAAAAGTAGGAAGACTGTGGTTCAAAGTCAGCCTGGGCAAAATGTTAGGGAGACTCCATCTTAATCAGTAACCCAGATGTGGTGATACATGCCTGTGGTCGCAACTATGCTGGAATCTGTAGGTAGGAGGATCTTGATCTGAGGGTAATCTTGGGTAGAAACGATAGACCTTACCTGGAAAACAACCAAAGGAAGAAAGGCTAGGGGTGTGGTTTAAGGGGTAGAGTCCTGCTCTCAACCCACACTGAGAACATATTTTGCTAAGGAAAATGAACTTAGTCACATCACAGAAAGACAATTACTCCATTGTGTGTTTACAGGAAGCATTTAAAGTAGTCAATCTTAGAAGCAAAAGAGAGGATAATGGGCTGATGGGAGGTAAAATGGGGAAGTGAAATCCACTGGATTTCTTGTCATATTAGCACAAAAAACAGTTTTGAGGAAAATAGCATCCGAACAAACAAAATGTTGTTTGTAAGATTTTTTTAAAAAATCTATCATGCTATCTAGGTGACCTAGCTAAATCTCTACCCTGACCTAATCTTGCCCATCTTTGAGGGAAGGATGACTGAACACCAAAACACCTCTTCAGATGGTCTAGCCAAAACCAGTTGGGTGTAAGACAACTGCTGGCTTGACCACAAGATGCTGAAGTTCCTGCTCTTCCCTCCGTGTCATGCTCCTAGTCCAGCTCCTAGACCTTGCTGCTGAGAGCTGGGATGAGACTATGCTGAGATCAGAAATAGAAAATACAGGTCTGGTATGGTAGCTCACACCTGTACTCCCGATCTTCAGAGGCTTAGGCAGGAGTATCATGAGTTTGAAGTTAACATCCTGCAGGAAAAAAAAAAGGAAGGAAGGGAAAGGAAGAGATAGCAAAAAAGAGAGAAAAGAAAGAAGGGAGGGAGGGAAAATATGAGAGAGAGAAAGAGAAAAAGGAAAGGAAAGGAAGAAGGAAGGAAGGAAGGAAGGAAAGGGAGGAAAGAGAGATCAAAAGAAAAAAGAAAGAAGGGGGAGGAGGGGGGAAAGGAGGAGAGAGGAAAAGAAGGAGGCTTGGTTCTTGCAATATTTCTATTTATTTTGAAAATTCATAATGAAAAGTTGGGTGAGGGAAGAACTAACCCACCCTAACATATTGTCATACACTCAATAGCTCCCCAGACTGGAACCAATAGCCAAATAGGCTGTGAGCAAGGCTACACTAGTGAAGTCAGAACCAAAGACCTGCCCCCACCCCCGTTCCCCCCATCCCCGTTCCCCCCACCTTGTAAGGAGGGCCATAGAGGCATCCTCCTTGGCTCCTGGTGACCTCAGGATCTGTTCTCTCCCTACTTTACCATGTGTAGCACTTCGACTGCAAATCCCTCCATTACTCAATATTCCTGGTGGAAATGTCCAGAAAGCCAACTCAGACCAGCTTAGGCAGCAGAGTGAATTCTGCAGGTGATGACTTAACTGTAAGTAAGGCTTGGATGCAGCTGGCATGAGGAAGAATATCGGTGGTGCCCTAGATTTCTTCACACAGTTCATCTCACATCTCCTCTTCCTGCCATGTTAAATTTATCTCCTCGCAGTATCTGGGAGTATCTCACCAAGTGACATGCCAAAGGCAAGGGCTCTTGGCTCTTTAGTACCAGTTCCAAGAGAGGCCTGCTGAAGCTCATCCTTAGCCCCCCCCCAACCTTGCTCATGACCCATATTCCCAAAGAAACACCCAAATCCAGAAATCTTGATAATGGATTCAAGAATCTCAGAAAGGGTCCAAGATGGGAGAAAGTTGGAGGCATCGTGCAGGTGTTTGTTTTTGTTTTTTCTTCAAGGATATAAAATAAAAAAGCAATCCCTAGGAAGGACTTATTTATGCACATGTCACATATGAGGAAACTGAGGCTTGGAAGGTCTCAGGTGACAGATGCAATGTGTGGCTGTGTCCACGCTGCATCAGCGGGTAGGATTAGGAGCCCCTGATCCTGGCACTTAAGGGTGGGTGTGGATAGAGCGGAGACTCAGGGGGTTTTGAGTGCTGTCATTCGGATTCTTCCCTAGGCTGAGGAGAACGTGTGGCAGCACAGGGAGGAGTCAGGGCTTCCTCTAGGGTGAGGTGCCAATGGAGAAGGCTTAGTGAAGAACTTAGTAAAGAAGGAAGAAGTCTGGTCCTGCCACTGCCAGGAGTGCATGCATCCCGAGTGATTCAAGCCCTTGCAGATCCTCTTTCTCTTGTGACCTTCTCCTCAGCTTGTGGATGTCTGCTTCTACTCCAGTGAAGAGATCTGGGGGGTGGGGAGGGAACCCAAGTCCTTCCCTCAGACTGATGGGCAATTCCTGCTGGGGAAGGCAGGTGAACCATCACCCAGCCCATGGTCATACCCAACAGGGAAACAGAAAGCCAGGCTCAGCTTCAGTGCCAGCCACACGAGCCCCTTTCTGATTTCAAGGCAGCATGAGGGCTGGCAGCTTCTTGGGCCTGATAGCGATCCTCCTTTTCCTGACTCTGGTGGCTGGGGAAGGTGTCAGTGACACCTGGTGGGCCACTGCCCCCAGTCTGGGGGAGTCCCTGAGAGCTGTGGGGGGCTCTAGGCCAGATGGAAGACCTCAGCTCACCCAGTAGCTGTTTCCTCCAGGTATTGAGAAATCAGGAGTTTGTCCAGGTGACGACATAATGGCGCTTGAAGGAAAATCCACCCCGGTGTCACACACAGACTGTGCTGGAGACATAAAGTGTTGTCGCTTCCACTGTGGCTTTACCTGTATACAGCCTGTGAGGACACTGGATCGAGGGTAAGGAGCCCGCTGCTCACCTCCCCTGCCTACCCACACCCCCACCCCCAGCCCTGGGAAAGCCCCAGGGAGCAGTCCTAGTCCCAGAGCTGTGTGGAGGAGTGGCTAAGGAGTGGCCATGTGCTCAGCCATCACCCAGTCTGGAGTCTCCATAGTACAAAGGAGGAAACAAGGAAGACAAGGTGTTGAGGCTACCCCATCATGGGGCATCATGGGAGCCTCTCCCCTCCCCTCTCCCCCACCCCTAGATCATCCCCATCCACCAAGGGTCCTCAGAGACCACCCTGGAGCCACTGTCCCTGGGTATCATCCGGATTGTAATAAGGAAGAAGAAATGGGTACCTTAATAAAAAACTAGCTCTGATGCCCTTATCACCAAAAGAAAGGGAAGAGACTCAGAGCCCAGGCCCCAGGGTCTGCTTCCCACCGCGCCCGGCCCCAACCCCCTCCAGCTGCTGCGACCCCACCCTCAGGAGTGGAGCCCTCATAAAAGAGGCCCCAAAGAGTTGTCTTGCCCTTCTATAAGGTGCGAACGAATATAGCATGAAGCCACAGACACCACGAAGAAGCGCTCACCAGAGACCAAAGCTGCTGGCACCTATGAGAAATCAGTGTTTGTTGTTTATGAGCCACGCCTACTCTAGGGAATGCGTCATAGCAACCCCAGCAGACATGTCCTAGTCAACATTATGAAATTGATAAAAGGGCGCCGGTGGCTCACGCCTGTCATCCTAGCTACTCAGGAGGCTGAGATCTGAGGATTGCGGTTCAAAGCCAGCCTGGACAGGACAGCGCCCAAGCCCAGAGTTCAAGCTCCATGGGGAAAAAGAAAAAAGAAAGAAAATTGATAAAAGATGGCCTGTCTACCAATAAATATGTATGGAAATTTTCTAGAAACAATTCTGATCGTATATTAAATAAGATTTTAAAAGGTCTTGACTGAAATTGTCCATTATCAAATTGTCTTTGGTTTTTGTTAAGATATGCGTTACTTTGAACAGGAGCCCTCTATTAAGTAAAAATATTCATTCTAGCCAGCACATTGTATGCCTGAAATAAAATTGAAATCAAAAGCTCTTGGATGTTTTGCAACCACTAATTAAATAATTGATTCAGAAAAGATGCTTTCAAATATTTATAAGTATCAGCTCATCCTCTCCTGCTTTATTTATTTATGTCAGTCATGGGACTTGAACTCAGGGCCTGGGTGCTGTCCCTGAGTTTTTGCACTCAAGGGTAGCATTCTACCACTAGTATCACTAATGGTTTTCTGGTGGTTAATTGGAGATAAAGAGTCTCATGGACTTTCCTGCATTAGCTGTCTTTGAACTGTGATCCTCAGATCTCAGGCTCTTGTGTAGCTAGGATTATAGACGTGAACCACCAGCACCTGGCTCCTGCCATATTTAGTGTTCCTAGGAAGGAAAATAGGTTTACAGATGGGAGAACTGACGCATTCCCGCTAACATCTTTGTCTTCACAACATTAAACTTTGGTCAGTTAGGCTTGCATTCCTCCCAAGATAATGCCACAGAAACAGACAACCTCCATTGCACATAGAAGCCTCTTGTGAAGTCATTTGCTCTTCTAATTCATTAACTTTCTTTTCTTTTATCTTTCTTTTCTTACTTTCTTTTTTGTTGGTCATGGGGCATGAACTTAGAGGCTGGGTGCTGTCCCTATGCTTTTTGTGCTCAAAGCTAGTGCTCTACCACTTTGAGCCACGGTGCTGGTTTTTTTTTTTTAATTTATTATGAAAATACTGTACAGAGGGGTTACATTTACATGAGCAAGATAATGAGTACATTTCTTATCAAGCATTGTAGCCTCCTCCTTTGTTTACCCTTCCCATCCCTTCCCAGCCCCCCCCACCTTGCCACCCAATCCTCCCCCCCCCACCACCAAAGTTGTGAAGTTTGTTTTCGACATGACAACTTGTACTTCTCATTGCTGCAACGGGTCCACCTGTATCCCTATTTAAATGATTGTTTTTTCCCTTCCCCTCCACAAATTATACCTACCTCAAATACAGTGAAAGCAGGGCTTATACCGTGGGGGAGGGTCATACAAAGCAACAAAGAAATCATCTTATAAATGTGTAAGAAACAATCACCTGAAAGAAAAAAAAAAACATTTGAATGCATATCTTAGGGTTCATTTCCCTAACATGAACTTATCTGACCTTTTCTGCTTGACTCAGACATATACTATTTATTGCAAATAAGGAAAACCATGGGACCTAAGTTTCTTTGGGCCTGGTTTACTTCATTTAATATAATTTTTTCCAAGTCTTCCCATTTCCTAACAAATGGGGCAATGTCATTCTTTCTGATGGAGGCATAGAATTCCATTGTGTATATATACCACATTTTCTTGATCCATTCAGCTACTGAGGGGCATCTGGGTTGGTTCCATATCTTAGCTATGGTAAATAATGCTGCAATAAACATAGTCGTGCTGGTAGCTTTAGTGTGGTCTTGTTTGTGAACATTTGGGTAAATGCCCAAATGCTGGGTCATAGGGGAGCTCTATGTGGAGTCTTTTGAGGAACCTCCATACTGCTTTCCAAAGTGGTTGAACAAGTTTACACTCCCACCAACAATGCAGTAAGGTTCCCTTCTGTACACATCCCCTCCAGCATCTGTTGTTATTAGAGTTCTTGATTATAGCCATTCTAACTGGTGTGAGGTGGTATCTCAATGTTGTTTTGATTTGCATTTCTTTTATGGCTAGGGAGGTTGAGCATTTCTTCATGTGTCTATTGGCCATCCTTCTTTCCTCTTCAGAGAAGTTTGTCTTTAAGTCTTTAGCCCACTTATTTATTGGGCAGTTGCTTCTTTGAGGATTTGTTGTTGGGGGATTTAATTTTTTGAGTTCCAGGTATTTTTAGATATGAGACCCTTGTCTGTTGTAAGGCTAGTGAAGTGCTTCTCCCAATCTGTGGGTTTTCTATTAATCTTGCTAGCTATGTCCTTTGCCATGCAGAAGCTCTGCAAGTTCATGCAATCCCATTTGTCGAACCTTTCTTTGATTTGTTGTGTTTCTGGGTCTCTATTAAGAAAATTGTGGCCTGTGCCAAGGAGTCCTAGGGTTTCTCCTATTCCATCCTGTAATGTTTTCAGGGTGTCTGCTTTGACTCCAAGGTCTTTGATCCATTTGGAGTTGATTCTGGTGCAGGGTGATATATAAGGATCTAGTTTTAGTTTTCTGCAAGTAGTTAACCCATTTTGCCAGCACCATTTACAGTGCTGGTTTTCTGGTGGTTAATTGAAGATAAGAGTCTCATGGAGACTTTTCTGCCTGGGCTGGCTTTGAACCTTGATCCTCAGATCTCAGCCTCCTGAGTAGCTAAGATTACAGGCATGAGCCACTGGTGCCTAGCCAATTCATTAACTTTCTAGAGATAACATTTGTCTACAGAAATTGGAAGGACTGAGAAGCTGAAAGGTATGACAAAGAAAAGTGTTTTTTTTGTTTTGTTCAACAAGTAAAATTGTATAAAGAAAAGAAGAAGAGAGAGAAGGATGGAAGGAGAAGTCAAGGAGGAAGAAGGAGGTAAGAGAAAAGAAAGGAGTTGGAGGGATTATTCTAGATTCAAAGAAACTGCAGGGGCATTCCACCAGTGCAGTGTTTGCATCTTGTGTGGATTTCGATTCAAACAACTTGATAGTCATTTTCCAGATAATAAGAGAAATCAAAATCAAATAGTGTTTCTGAGTGTGGTGACCCATGTCTGTAATCTCAGCTACTAGGGATGCTGAGGAAGAATGATTGGAGTTTAAGGACTGTATCCTCAAAAATGCAAACAAAAAGAGTGAGTGTATAGCTGAACTACTGGGATGCATAGCAAAAACTAGGCCCTAGATTCCATTTCCAGTACCATGTGTGTGGGGAAGGGGGGCAAATACAATGCTAAGATATCAATGCTAATTTAGTTGTGTAGAGGAATGGCACTGTGATTTATGAGAACATGTCCTTACATCTTTTTGAATCATGGTCTCACTATGTAGATACTCAGGCTAGCCTGGAACTTACTATAGAACCCAGGCTGACCTTGAACTTGTGATCCTCCTGCTTCAGCCCTCCTAATGGGGTCTGGGATTACGGATATGTCCCACCAGACCAAACCTAAAAATGTCCTATTTCTTAAATATCCACGTTGAAATATTTAAGAGTAAAATAGATTATAAATGTACTTAAAATTCTTCAGTTTAAAAAAAGAGTAGGGTCAGGAGGCTGAGATCTGTGGATCATGGTTTGAAGCCAGCCTGAGCAAGAAAGTCAGTGAGACTCTTAGCTTCAATTAGCTACCAAAAAAAGCCAGATGTGGAGTTGTGGCTCATGTGGTAGATGCTAGCCTTGAGCAAAATAATGCTCAGGGACAGTGCCCTGAGTTCAAGTTCCAGAACCAGCACACACAAATGGACCATATGTATGGGAGAGAAAGTTGAAAATTGTAAAACAGCATATATCTAATGAGAATCATCTTTGCTCGACTTACTTATCTTTAAATGTTAAAAATTTGGTAGTGAATAAAGATGTTCATTGTTTAAAGAAAAAAAAAGAAGAAGGCTATCCATGAGAAAATGGGGCTGTAAGATGGGTACTATTGATCCAGGATAAGTAAGTAGTATTTCATAAAAAGTAGTTACCATTTTTTGTGCATTTAAAAAAATTGTGATAGTTTTTGCTGCAGCAAATTTTTGGAACTTAGCAAATGATGACCAGGCTAATTTGGAAGAATGAAATTGGGACCTGAAAATATTGAAACTGTACATTAGCAGCTAGGAATGGATACCACAAGTCACTAAAACACATCATGAAGCAATGTCACCATTACAACAACAAGACGTATACAAGAATAAGCAGCCCAACGGCAGAGGACAAAAACCCCAAAATAGACCCTATGACATAGGAGGCTTGAATTTTTTATAAAGTTCTCAGTTCCAATCAATGGCAAAAGTTTGAATTATTAATTAAATGCTAATGGAACAATTGGTTAACAATACAAGGAAAATGTATTTTCTTTTTTGTTTTTTGTTTTTTTTTTTTATGTGTTGGCTTATTTATTTTTGTGCCAGTCCTGGGGCTTCAACTCAGGGCTTAGGTGCTGCCTCTGAGCTTTTGTGCTCAAAGCTAGCACTGTACTATTTGAAATCCACTTCTGGTTTTGCTGGTTATTTGGAGATAAGAGTCTCATGGACTTTTCTGCCCAAGCTGACTTTGAACTGTGATCCTCAGATCTCAGCCTCTTGAGTAGCTAGAATTACAGGTGTGAGCCACTGGCGCCTGGCAGGAAGGATGTGTTCTGTCTTACATACTGTTACAGCATATACCATGATAAATTTCCAGATGGATGAAAGAATTCATGTTCTCAAAAAAAGAGAAGAAAATGTAACAAATATTTATTAGACCTCAGTGAAAAATCTAATTTGACTATCCTAACACTTTCAAATTCAACACAAAGCTAAGGGGGAAAAAAGAAAGGATTTAGAAAAGATAATCAAAATAAGCATTTGTCAAGCTCCTCTTAGTTAGTGGTCAGAACTACCCTGTAAAATAAATACTAGTATCTCTGTCTCTATTTTATAAAATAACTGAGGCTTCGAAAAGTTAAGTCACACATTTAGAACTTGGTGGTACTAAGATTCAAAATCATGCCTGAATTACTAACCACTTTTTGTACTATCTCTCATGTATGATAAAATAAAAATATCCTTAATATGTAAACAGCTCTTACAACTCAAAAATAATAACACTTCAAAAATGAACAAAATGTCATTTATAATAACACTGAATCCCAAAAGTAACATCAGACCATAGAAGATAAAGTTAAGAAGAGCTTGAGAACTTAAAAGTCAGTATGAGGGATTTGGGTCAAACTTAAGGAAGAACTAATTTCTTGCCTGGCTGTTGTGAACTGCAAAAGGCGAAGGAGACAAGGCCTAGAATGTCAGCTTTTTTTCCTCATAGTCAGATGGATTATTTTCCTGCTTTCAACACCCAGGAACTAGAGAAGCAATAGGGGAAGGCCCAGCCTAATCCTGAGAACTAGGTGCATCTTTGGGTTCATCCTCCGTCATATCTGGCGCCATTTCAGGATCTTTCCAATAGAGAGGAAGGACTTGATCTCAGTGCCAATAGACTACTGTGTTCCCTGGCCCTATGAAATGCCAAATCTCTACAACCTCTCTCCCACCAAACATAGGAGCAAGCCCACATGGCAGGTATGAAACCTCGGGTGGTGTCCCTGACTCACATGACATTCTTGCTTAGAACCTTCTGCAATCAGGGAAGGAGTGCCATTGGCATTTTCATCTGCTCCAGCCCTCAAATAAGCCAAACCAAAGCCGTGCTCTGCCCATCCCAGATAGCCAAGCCAGCCCTGGCATGGGGCAGCTCCACCTGTTGCCTTTGGAAGTGATCTTCCCAAAGATAGGAGTGTTTCTCTTTCATCCACAGGGGCCCAAGAGAAGCAGCCAGGGCTGGGCTCACTTCCCAGGTCAAGCTGAGCCCATTTCTCTGGCAGGCAGCGTTGACCCCAACCCTTTGCTGCCTTCCTTCCCAGATGCCCAGAACTCTGCCAAGTCCTCCTTGCCATATAAAAAGGTCTGACTCATTACCCTGAACACTGTCGATTAACCCAAACTTGGAAATGCAAAACTAAAAAGGACTGTATTTGGGGATCTGGGGAATTGCAATTCAGGAGGCACAGGTCTACGAATTCTGAATCGGTGTTATGAAGAAGGCAGGAAAGTCAGAGCTTAACTGGGAAGCAGTTGACAAAACAATAAAGACAATAAAAAATCACTTTGTAGGAATCATCTGTGGAACACTGAAAAAGAACAGAAGGTAGATGATCAAAGAAGATAAATAAAATAATCATATATTTGTCCATAAAACAAGATTCCAACAACCTCTTATATAATTGTGCCTCTGGGCACAATTCTAGCCTCTGGCATGTCCCAGAACTTCCAGATACCTACAGTCAATGCAGCCACCTCCTGACTCCTGTGTGTGTGTTTGTGTGTATGTGTGTGTGTGTGTGTGTGTATACAAATGCATGCATACACGTGCAGGTCTTAAGGCTTGAATTCAGGGGCATGGGTGCTGTCCTTGAGCTTTTGTGCCCACGGCTAGCTCTCTACCACGTTAGCCACAGCTTCACTTTCAGTTGTTGTTTTTTTCCCCGTGGTTAGTTGGAGATAAATGTCTCATGGACTTTGCTGCCCAGGCTGGCTTTGAACTACAGTCCTTAAACCTCAGTCTCCTGAATAGCTAGGATTACAGGTATGAGCTACCTCATTCCAGCCTGTCTGGAATTCTGTCTCTATTTTTAAAAGTTCTCTCAGGCCAAGGATCTAGTTCAGTGGTAGAACACTTGCCTAGCATGTGTGAGGCCCTAGGTTTGATGCCCAGCACCTCCACATTCCCAACACACAGAGAATGGAAAGAGAAAGGATGGATAAATGTAGTCATAATGCTCAATGTATATACGTGAACATGGGACTAGGAAACTAAATGGTAGGAGGTGGGAGAATCATCCAGGGAGTGCCTCTGACCAAGATATATTGCACGCACAAATGGACAGCCCAAGCTAAATTTTTTTTTTACAGTAAAAAGGAAGACCGAAAAGACAGATGAGAAACACTGAGGTCCAAAGAGCAAAAGACTTGCCCAATATCAGAGCCCAAGTCACTAATACAGGCAGAACTGGATCCAAGGCCCCAACACGAAAGACCTGCCTTCAGTTATTGCACAAATACCCCAACGGAGGCTCTTAGGCAGAGGGTGGGGTCACGACGAAGGAGACTCACGTCCCTAACCCCACCCCTGCTCCTCCTCCCCTGACTAACCGCTGTAGCCTCTCTGGGGCTGCAGGTGTTCATTTGAGGGCCTCTGGGCCCTAATCTGATTAGGTGTCGTGGTAGAAACATGAGGATCCAGAGCTACTTCTTTCTGATGGTTCTCCTGGCTTTAGGGAGCCAGCTGCCCAGGGTGTCAGGCTGGAAGAAGGGAGGTAAGTGTGATAGCTCCAGAGACCAGGTGGTTTGCTCTGTGTGTATGTGTGTGTGTGTGCTCACGCGCGCGCACACGCTTACGCACCTGTGCTTTCAAGAGAATGCTTTTTTTTTTTTTCGGTTGGTCGTGGGGCCTGAACTCTGAGCCTGGGTGCTGTCCCTCAGCTCTTCAGCTCAAGGTGAGTGCTCTACCACTTGAGCCACAGCACCACTTCTGGTTTCCTGGTGGTTAATTGGAGATAAGAGTCTCACAGACTGTCTTGCCCAGGCTGGCTTTGAACCACGATCCTCAGATCTCAGCCTCCTGGGTAGCTAGGATTTCAGGTGTGAGCCACTGGCACCCAGCTGAGAATGCATTTTTTTCTTTGTGGATTTTTCCGGCTGGTCTTATGCTGTGTCTCTTGGTAAATATCTTCCTGCTAGTATTCCATGCTTGTCTGTGCCTGTGTTTAGGGGCATACCCCTGCCTCTGTGTGCATGGATGTTTGGAGGCCTGATTGTCAGGTGTGAACCTCCACACACATACACTCGTATCCATGTGTGTCTGTGCATGTATGTTTCTGTGCCCCTGAGTGTCCACCCTGTGTCCATCTGTGTCCCCCTCTTCTCCATGGTCCTATAATTCTCACCATAGGATGTGAGCCTTCTCTGGTCCTCTCTGGCAGAAGCCACATCTGTAGAAGGGACTTGGAGTTGAAGGAAACGTGGCTCTTGGAATGTAGCATCTGTTGGAAGGAATCTGCCACTTGGCTCTCTTCTCCCTCCCTCACATGCTGTCCCCACCCCGTCCCCTGACAAGACTCAGGCTGGCCTGTTGGCAACAAGGGAGGTGTGAATGCTTGAGTGGCTAGACAGGTGGCTTCCAGTCTGAGCGAGGCCACCCCTTCCATCCTCCGCTGGGGCTGGAATGCTCTGACCTACATCCACCTGTGCAGCCCTGGAGGAGTGGGTAGTTATGAGAATGGGTCCTCTTTCTCCGCAAGGCCCTAGGGAGCAGGTTCTGCATCCTTTCTGCCCCTTGAAGCTTATGGAAGCACAGGTCTCTGCCCGGTGCATGAGCTGGGATGGGGAGAAGGGAGGCTCAGAGCAGCCAGGCTGAGAGAAGAACCACGCCGGCGGGTTCCAAGGCCAAGCCTTGAGGCTGTGACTCATGCCCCGGCACCACACACAGGCTCTCTGCAATGTGGTGAGCCAGCACTGTTTTATTCCCATTTTTTTCAGAGGAGGAAACCATTTGCCCAAGGCCAAAGACTGGCTCTGAGTGAGTATCGAAGGTGGCATCTGAGTTTATAGCTTTGCAATCAGAAAGACTCAGCTCACCAACTTCCTCCCTGTGAAATGGGGCCCATGCTTCCCTTTTGGAGTAATAAAAAGCATCCTGAGGAGTGAGTACAGCGCAAGTGGGTGATACCGAGAAGCAAAGCAACCAGGAGGCCCAGAAGCCACGTCTCCATACAGCCATGCTTGGCTGCTCAGGGTGGGTTCTGCAGCCTGCAAGCGCTTGGGCCTGCGCAGTACCTTTCTGCATGCCCTCCTTCTGTAGCTCCTTTGATTCACCAGAACCCACTGTGCCCTGATTTCTTTACCATGAGACAGCTGCCTGGTCCTCAGCTAACAGCAGCACAAGATGCTGAGGTCGAGGGAGGGGAAGCGTTAGGGTGTTGTCTGTGGAAGGTCAGTCACCACTGTTTGTAAGACTCTGCCCCTCCTTGCATTCGAATGTTGGGTGCCTTTGGTACAAAGAGCTTAGTAAACAATATGTGCCTAGTGAAATGGTTTCAGTGGTGATATCATATTGGGAATAAACCTGTGTATGTGTAGCTCTGTGTATATCAACTGTTGATGGTTCTGTCTACACACATCTGCATGTGATACATGCATGTCTAAATGTGAAAGTATGTGTGTAGGCATGTGTACATAAATAATGACATGTGTATATTTGACTGTGTATGTCCCATTTTATTTTATTTTTTTACATAATCTCCTTTTTTATTGTGAAAATACCATACAGAGGGGTTACAATTACATGTGTGCGCAAGATAATATCAAGCATTGTTGCCTCCTCCTTTGTTTCCCCTTCCCATCCCTTCCCATCCCCCCTACCCTCCCACCTCCCCCACCCCGGCCAAAGTTGTAAAGTTCGTTTTTCGACATGACAACTTGTACATCTCATTGTTGCAATGGGTCCACCTGTATCCCTATTTAAATTATTTGGTTTTTCCCTCTCCCTCTACAAATTATACCAACTTCAAATACAATGAAAGCAGGGGTTATACCATGGGGGAGGGACTGTATGTCCCATTTTAAATGGGTGGATGTTATTGCTTGTATATGTGTGAATATGTATATATATATATGGATATACATGTGTGTATGTATATATAAGTGTGTATATATGTGTGCATATGTATTTATGTATAGGTATGTATATATATATACATTCACACATACATATATAAAACTATCTTATGTGTAAGTTGCTCTTCTTGTAGAAATAAAAGGTTGGCTGTCAGTAATGTCATAGGTCAAGCTGACCATGAATTATGCGTGTAGATCTAAATGTGCTCGTGTGTTTGATTGTTGGTGTATCTACCTCTGCAAGATGACTGTCTCTTTAAACCAGGTCTGGTGTGGTTACTCACTCCTTGAGTCTACACATCCATGGCTTCTAGCTATGTATGTGCCTATGCTGTGCCGAGTGCCTCTCAGGGAACATGGATCCTGGTTATGGAGGGATGGTTAGGAGGGCGGAGAAACAGAGCTGGTGTGACCACCCAAACCCCTTCACACTCCTCTGCGTGCTGTAGGCCATTATGTCTGGCTCCACCCTGTAGCTTGGTAGTTCTTCCAACTTGAAGCGCCAACTCTCAGCCCCTCTCCCTGTCAGCCTATTCCTCAGGGCCCAGCCCCTGGCCACTCCCCCTAGAAGTTCCGGGCTTCTATTCCCTACCCACCCTGTGCCACCTGCTCCTCAACACACAGCTCCCACTCGTCTGGCTGTGAGCTCAGGTTGCTCTGTTTGGCCCATTCTTTGAGGCCTGAGCTTGAGTTCAGGACTAAACCCTATACTTAAGACAGTCTCCCAAGGCCCTCCAAGTTCCCCTTAAGAGAGGCTCATTAGAGCCGGGGCTCTCTCCCAGGTAAACCTTTTTATCCAGCAGGGGGCAGCAATTCAACTGAAACGAACTGAAGCTGACACTGAGCACTCTCTTTGTGGGGATCAGATCACCCACTACGGGTGCAGTGTGCAGCCGGCAGTCACAACCCTGGATCCAGCTGCTATGGAAGGCTCCCAAACGTCTTCTTTGGTGCTAGACTGAAGTAGAGCCTGCAGCCCAGTCTCATCCCTAAAGCCCCAAAGCAACCAGGTCATGGAGGTCATGGAGGTCATGGAGGGAACAGGCCTTGGAAGTCCTAGCCTCAGGACTGTGTGGGGTGGGGCTGGCCACTCCCCCTCTAATCCTTGACGTCTTTCTCCAAGTGGAGGGAGATACTGGGTATGGGACGTCTGGGAACAGCCCCAAATCCCAACAAGAAGAGTGTCTAGGTATAGGACAGACCATTGCGCAGCTGTAGAATATAGTAATAGAGTGAACACTTACATCTAAAGCTATGCAACAGTGACAGTGTGACAGTGTGCCAAGGCAGATGTGGCCAGCTGTGGCATGTGACGCTGCGCCAGGCCGGCAGCCAGGTGTCCCACGTGCAACACGGAGTCTCCCTTCAAAATCTTTTCTTTCCAGCAGTCACTGAGCCACAAGCACTGTGCACCCAGTACTAGGCTGGAACCCATGGTGAGCTGAGGTGAGGGAGAGGGTGACCAGGCTCAACTCTGACCAATGAGGCGTGCAGACAACTGTAGTCATATACTCTGAGGGGAGGATCATTTGGAACCGTGTAGTCAGTAGTCAGTGTGGGATCAGGGGCAGAGGGTCTTCTGCAGAGGTGATGTGGCAGTGAAGATGAATGTAGGGACTGGGTAAATGAGATACAGGGACCAGCATGAGGGAAAGGGGTGTGTCCAAAACAGAGGCCCTGCTGAGTAGATTGAGGGACACTGACAGTCACTTATGCATTGTGGGTGTGGCCTGTAGGCTAGTGGGGAGCAGATCGGGGGCTCCCTCCAGCAAGAATGGTACAGAGTAAGACCAGGGAGCTTGACAAGGGCCAGACCAGGCATGACCATATTTCCCACTATGGAGATGTTGGCCCCTACGATTTTGTTTTACCTGCCCATTGATGCCATATGAATCTCAGAGGAAAACTTTCCAGAGGACACGCAGTGACTAAGGGATGGAGACTGAACTATCTCCAGCTACAAGATATGGGGGTTCTTTTCACAGAGAAATCAGGGGGCTGCCCACCAGACGATGGGCCCTGCGCCCTGTCAGTGCCTGACCAGTGCATGAGTGACCGCCAGTGTCCCTCAACCTACAAGTGCTGCTACCGAGCTTGCTTCCGCCAGTGTGTTCGCAGGGTCTCAGGTAAGCGCCTCCCCTACCTGGCTGACCATTCAAGCTCCAGGGCCAGTGCAGACAAGCAGGGCTCACCCAGGCTTCTTGTTGCAGTAAAGCTGGGCAACTGCCCCCGGGACCCACTGCACTGCCTCAGCCCCACGAAGCACATGTGTAACCAGGACTCCGACTGCTCCCGCAGCAAACGCTGCTGCCCCACCGCCTGTGGCCGAGACTGCAGGGATCCCACCAGAGGTACAGCTCCTGGGGCCTCCAGGCCTTCCCTCTCGGACATTACTTCCAGTTCAACAAGCTCAGCAGGTTACCTCCCCAGAGCCAAGGCCTCCATAGGCCTGAGCTGAAGAAGCAGATGGGGAGTATAAGAGGTCCTGGGGGGTGGGGGTGCATATGGAGGAAATGAGTGTGTGTATAAATATATACAAGGGGGGGGGACTGTGCCAGTACTGGGGCTTAAACTCAGGGCCTGAGCACTGGGCCTTAACTTTTTCGCTCAAGGCTGGCACTCTACCACACTGAACCACAGCTCTATTTCTGAGGTTTCATTGTTTAATCAGCAATGAGAACCTCATGAACTTCCTGCCTGGGCTAGCTTTGAACTGTGAGCCTCACTTCTCAGCCTCCTGAGTAGCTAGGATTACAAGCAAGAGCTCTGGCACCTGGCCCTTCTTGATTCTCTTAATGTGCTGCAACTTAGAATGGCTCTGAGCTTCAGTGTGCCCTTTTGAAGGACACAGGGAGCCATGCTTTGGTAGTCACCAGAGCTAGGATGATGGGGCCTGGATGGGGGATTGACTTTTCCTTTTTTCTCTCTCTCTCTCTCCTCAGGCTAATTCTGGTTTAAGATTCATGGCTCCATATCCAGCTCAGGGTCCTAACAGAAAGAGATGACAGAAGGATCCATCTCTGCCAGGGGTAGCTAAACATTCACTTGCTGTCACTTCCCAGCAACCCTTGCTTCTCCTCCTGAGAATTAAGGTTCATCACGGGACCACAGAGGGATTTGTCTTTACCAGCCCAGTGCCCTGAAATGGCCACACTGAGCTTCCCACCCTGACCAACACCCGTGTTTACATCTTGTGTATCTTGTTCCTCTTCTAAAATGTTCAATTCAGGTAACCCTACCCCCTAAAAATGTATGTCCAGCCAGGTCCCAGTGGCTCATGCCTGTAATCCTAGCTACTCAGGAAGCTGAGACCTGAGGATCATGGTTCAAAGCCAGTCTGGAGAAGAAAAGTTTGTGAGACTCTTATTTCCAATAAACTTCTAAACCATCAAAAAAAAATGGAGGTATGGCCTTTTTAAGTCTTGAGGAAAAGAGAAACGAAAAAAGCTGCCCAAACTGTGAGTGAGTTCAAGCTACAGGACTGAAACAGAAAAAAAAAAAAAAGTATGTCCAGCAGAATTTTCCACACACCAGTTCATTCATAATTTCAGTTGTACCTGTAAAACAGCATGATGTATTCAGGCCACCTGTAATACTGTGTTTCCCTTCAGATGATTCATTTTTGTATGCAATGAAACCCATTTCAAAAGCAAATCTGACCTCACTACTATGGAAGCGATAAGCAAGATCACTGACCACACAGAGAGAATGTAAGTGGGAAATCAAATTCGACCAGAATGGCTCAGTTCCATTCAATTAATTCATGTCCAATTAAATAATATTATTAAACTCTAGCTAGATAAGGCTCCTTGCCAAGACTGAGCCTGCAGCCCACTCCTTGTCTCTGCTTTAATAAATGGGAGATTAGCAAGGGCAAAAGAGCTGTCAGTGCTCTAAGTTGAGAATCTCTGGCTGCCACAAGCAGGACTGAAAAGGGAATCAGTCTCACTCCAGGAGTTGATGTTGTGTCATCTTACATCCAAGTGCTCACTAAGATCATTTGGGACTGTCCTACCTTAGGAGACACGATGCTTGGACAGCTGGGATGACATGTTTAGAGTGGGTCTCTTCCTGATGTTGGACTATACCTCACTTACTTCAATTCTCCCAGACTCCTGCCTACAGTCAGGGCCTAAGGAGAGAAGGGGATGAGCCCAAGTAAAGTCCTTTACCCATCTGGTCTTCTGGTTGGGAGGTGGAAAGAATTCCACTTCCTGGCTGCTGTAGTCCTTCTCACAAGATTCAAATACTTGAACTGTGGACTCAAAGTAACCAGTGCAGCAACTTAGATTCAAGGTGATGCCTGAGAGAGGAGATAAAGAACAGAGAGTCCTTTGTGGGAGGCCCTGAGCTTGTGGGACCTGGGCTCTATCTCTGGATCCTTCTGGGTCTCAGATTCCCCACCCAGAACCTCCAGGAGTTAACACGGAGAATGCTGAGGATTGTGTGTTCAATGACTGCAGTTGCCTCCTCCCTCCCACATTCCCACCTTTCTAGAGCTTCCCTGGGGAGCCCTGTGCATGAGGGAGGGCTTGCTTAGGGACCTGCTTTGGCTGATGGGCTGTGGGTAGAAATGGCAGTGTGCAGTTCCTCAAGACAAGGAATTGATTTACCATAGTAAGAGCCTCGTGCCAATATCGATTATTCATCTATAGCAATACACATCTTAATGCCTTCCACTTTAAAACACCACCTCATTCATCCACCCCCTATCCCTGAGAAAGGTAGGCAAATTGTTATTTTGATTTGACAGTGGAGAAGCAGTAGCTCTGAAAGTACTGAATTGGCCAAGATCCCTAGCAGAAAGGAGAGCAAGAGCGAAAGAGAGAGAGAGACAGAGACAGAGAAACAGAGAGACAGAGAGATAGAGAGACAGAGACAAAGAGACAGAGAGACAGACAATGAGAAAAGAGAGACAGAATTTCAAACAACATAGGTCGCTCACATGTTATCTGTGGCATAGAACTGGCATAGGGGACAATTGGCAGAGGAACTGTGCTTCTTAGACTTGTCACGTCTTATCCGTGAGGTTGTATGAGAACAGCACCCTGCAGATGTGCTTGCAGCCTGAATGAGACGAGGCCCTATACTTGGGCCAAGTAAGTTCTCAACAATGGTAAATATGGTCATTTAGACCAACAGCTGTCAACCCAGGGTCTAGTCTTCAGTACCCTGTCCCAGACACACCCACAACAGCCCTCACTCACAGATCACAGCTGTTTGCCCCCCCCAACCCTTCTGGAAGGTGGGACTCAGGACTCCACCTGCAGGTGAGGATGCTGACTCTTGGGGCACGCACCTGGCTAGGGCTGGACTGCTCAGGCACAGGCCAGGAGGCCCCTGGGATCTGAAGCTGCCTTGTCCAACTCCTTCCCCCTCGTCCCGACAGGCTAGGCAAGAGCCTGGGTCTCCTCTGTACACTGCAGAGCACAGAGCCTTTGGCCCTGGCCAAGTCTGTGTCAGGAAATGACTGAGCTAAGTCTGTCACAGCAGCAGGCACTCCATGAAGCAAAATACTGCTACTGCCACTCCTGGGCCCGAGACGGAGACTTCTCTCCAGAGGGGACACCATCCCTCTAAGTGGCCCATCCTTCTGCGCCCCTGATCTGTGGACATGGCTGGGTTGTTGGGCGCAGTCTCCAGACAACACCCCTCAGCTCTCACCCGAGTCAGGAATAGAAGCCACCGCCTCCGGCCGCCCCGCGGCCTCCCTCCCTCCGCTGGCAGCGATCGATGCGGCCTCAGCCGCGGGGGACGGAGGAACAAGAAAGGAGGGGGCCCGCAGAGAGACGCAGCAGCGGGGCTGCGGGGCTGCGAGGAGGCCTGCACCGGCCCGGCGGCTCCTCTCCGCCCCTGCGCCTTTTGGAGACAGGCGAGCAGGGAACACAGATGCCCAAAAGGGGGTTCCCCCCAGCCCGCCGACTAAGTCTGAGTCCTGCTTGGGGAGAGGCGTGGTGCTGGTAAGGTAAGGGGCTGAGGGAGTGGGAGGCATGGACTGCCCAGGCGGGGGCAGTGGGCCGGCCAGGCTTTGGGGAGACTGGAGTGCGTCCTGCTTGCACATCTGTAAAATGGGACTAATAAACCTCCCTGGCTGCCCTGGTTAAGAGGATTCACGGAAGTGCAGCTGGCGGGGTGGGCGGCACAGGAAAGTACTAGATAGACTGGAGGTGTTCAAAAATAAGCATCCCAAGGCTCCAGCTGAGGTGGGCTGTGAACCAGCTGAGTAATTTTGAGCTAGTCCCCCAACCTTTCTTACTGATCGCCAGATTCTTGTCAAGCAACATTTGTTTCACTAAGTCCTCTGCTTCCTAAAGCAGGAAAGTGAGTTGTAGGCAGATAGAGGGATTTGCCGGAGATCATGCTTCTAATGGATGATGGAAATGGCTTGGGAAGTTTTTCACCTCCTGAGGGTAAAATCCAGGTGGAAGAGGTCAGAGTAGACCTGCCCCCCTCCCACTCATCGTTCCTGTGCACTGATTATGCCCCAGGACCGTGCTGCGGCTAGACACACTGCAGCATCGACTCCTAAGCCTCTTATAGGAAGAATGATGGTTTCCTGCTTGCAGATAGAAATGTGAGCTCAGAGAGGGCAGTGGATCCACTCAACATCAACAGCTGGCCCATGAAAGACTCATCAGAATTTGAACTCATGTTTGACCAAAGAGAAGCCCCAGGAATGGTTACTATTCCCTTAATTAAGGGAATATTAATGCACTGAGCTCCCAGTGTATTCCTAAGGCTCTGAACACCATCAGGAAAACAATTTATCCAAAGTTCATCTAGGCTAACTCCTAGAACAGGACCACTGACCTGAGGTTGCACAAGAGACAGAGCTAAGGGCAGAATCAGATTCCAGCCCATCTAAACAAAGCCAGAGTGAAAGGCAGCCAGGCTTGGGTGCTGGATGTATGCTAGATCCCCAGGCCCACCATGGATGAGTTTATATCGGTCAGGAGTCAAGACATCAGCCCTTGGTTCCAGCAGAGGTGGAAGTCTTTTTCTGTGGAAGGATCTAGTATTTCCTGACTACTCATCAAAGCCAAGCCCTTCCCATAACCCTTCAGTTAGCCTTGGAGAGGGGTGCTACTGTCTGCATTGTTCAGGAATCAGAGACCTAGAGGGGGAAAAAAAAAAAAACTTATTCAAGGCTCAAGTGCATCATGGGTGTGGTTAAGCCCAGGTTTGCCTGACTCCAGTGTGAGTGGTACTGGTGGATTTTTCAATAAACTCTTTATGTCTAAAAAGGACACTAGGACACATAATCATTGTAACCGCATTTTGAAGTAGATCTTTTTTTTAAATCTCCATTTCACAGAGGCTCAGAGTCACTCATACACACAGAGAAGGTGCAAGGTCATGTCTGAAGGACTCTACAGATGCCTTACATCATCTAACCCAGTAGATCACAACTTGACCAAGTATCAGAATCACCCTCCTTGTCTTTAAACACAAGACTATTTGCTGTGGTGGAGGCCAGTCTGAGCTTCCAGCACTTGGGAAACTGAGGCAGGAGATTTCAAGTTCAAGGCCAGCCTGGGCTACCTTAGCAATTAAGCTACACACACAAGCAGAGAGAGACAGAGACAGAGACAGAATGGAGAGGGAAAGAGGGAGAGCGGGAGGCTGGCTGCTGGCCTCCACTCCATACCCCCGTTCTGATTTGGCAAATCTAGGGCAGACTACAGAATGGGAATTTTTGACAAAGTCCCAAGTGAGCTGATGCTTTGTCCAAGGAACATACTTTGAGAATCACTGTTCTCAACTGATTTTCATGACCATCCTAGGTGGCAAGTATTCCCATTCCCGTTGCCAGAGGAGGAAACGGACATCCCAGGTAACTCGAGTCTGGGGGGCACTTGACATCTATTGAACGCCTACTGCATACCCGGCGCTTTGCATAAAGCCCCCCTTCCACCGTCCCCCGCCCCAGGTGTCTGCGGGGTGGCACCCCGGAGTCATGGTGAGCGAGTCCTCAGGGTCGGGCGCCGGCGCCCCCTGGCGGCGACGAGACGAGGCGCTGCGCGTGAACGTGGGCGGCGTGCGGCGGCGGCTGAGCGCACGCGCCGTGGCGCGCTTCCCGGGCACGCGGCTGGGTCGCCTGCAGGCCGCGGCGTCCGAGGAGCAGGCGCGGCGCCTGTGCGACGACTACGACGCGGGGATACGCGAGTTCTACTTCGATCGGCACCCGGGCTTCTTCCTGGGCCTGCTGCATTTCTACCGCACCGGCCACCTGCACGTGCTGGACGAGCTGTGCGTGTTCGCCTTCGGCCAGGAGGCGGATTACTGGGGCCTGGGCGAGAACGCCCTGGCCACGTGCTGCCGGGCGCGCTACCTGGAGCGGCGCGTGGCGCGGCCTCGCGCGTGGGACGAGGACAGCGACACGCCGAGCAGCGTGGACCCGTGCCCGGATGAGATCTCCGACGTGCAGCGCGAGCTGGCGCGCTACGGCACGGCGCGCTGCGGCCGCCTGCGCCGCCGCCTGTGGCTCACCATGGAGAACCCGGGCTACTCGCTGCCCAGCAAGCTGTTCAGCTGCGTCTCCATCGGCGTGGTGCTCGCCTCCATCGCCGCCATGTGCATCCACAGCCTGCCCGAGTACCAGGCCCGGGAGGCCGCGGCCGCCGTGGCCGCCGTGGCGGCGGGCCGGAGCGCCGAGGAGGTGCGCGATGACCCGGTGCTTCGGCGGCTCGAGTACTTCTGCATCGCCTGGTTCAGCTTCGAGGTGTCGTCGCGCCTCCTGCTGGCGCCCAGCACGCGCAACTTCTTTTGCCACCCGCTCAATCTCATCGACATCGTGTCGGTGCTGCCCTTCTATCTCACGCTGCTGGCCGGGGCGGCGCTGGGCAAGCAAGGCGGGGCCGGCGGCGAGGACTTGGGGGACCTGGGCAAGGTGGTGCAGGTCTTCCGTCTCATGCGCATCTTCCGCGTGCTCAAATTGGCGCGCCACTCCACCGGGCTCCGATCGCTGGGTGCCACGCTCAAGGTAGGATGTTTGGAGGCGGGGGTAGAGGAGGGTGAGGGGAGGCTCGGGCAGGTTAGCTGGTGGATTTGTCAAGCCTCCGATGTCCGGGCGCACATCCGGACTGAGAAGCCAGGCCAGGCGCAGAGCTAGATGCCAGGCGGATGTTCACATCCAGTCTGACCTCTTTCCAAGAGCCCTGTAAGGAAGGGCTTACTGTTACCCCTGTTTCTGGAAGAAAAGACGGAGTCATTGCTTGGCTTGGCTTTCTTTGTGCAAAGGAGAAGACAAAGATCACTCCTCGCCTCTCCATTGCCCACCCCCACTTTTTTTGTGTGCATCCTGGGGCTTGAACTCAGGCCCTGGGAGCTTGTTCCTGAGCTTCTTTGGCTCTAGGCTAGCCCTCTACCACTTGAGACACAGCACCACCTCCAGCTTTTTCTGAGTAGTTCATGGGAGATCAGAGTCTTATGGACTTTCCTGCCTGAGACCTCCATTCTCAGATCTCAGCCTCCTGAGTAGCTAGGATTACAGACATGAGCCACTAGTGCTTGGTACTCTTTCCCCCACCCTGCCTACCCCCCCTTTTTTTGAGACAGTCTCACCATATATAGGCCAGACTAGCCTTGAACTACCTACATAGTCAAGTCTGGCCTCAAACTCTTTGGCTTTCAAGTGCCGTGATTACAAACATGGATTACCAGGGACAAAGGTCACTTCTGGTGCATCTACCAAACTTCAGTTTATAGAACAAAAATAGGCCAGCCTGGAAGTTAAATGGCTTCTCCCCTTGAGCCTTTCTTCTGGCATTATCAGAAGGCCCAGGTAGTCACCCTTAATAGGCCAAACCTAGGAATATAGTCCCGGAGCTAACACTTACTGAGCACAGAACCTGTGCCAATTTCACATCTATTATTGATTCGTCCTTAGGACAACTTCCTCAAGAAGATGCTGTTATTCATTTTCTTCCCGTAGATGAAGATCATGAGTTTACAAGGCTGGGGTTTGTTGTTGTTTTTTTTTTAAAGCCTACTCACAACTTATTGAACACATTGTTCTAGTGCCAGGTTCTGCCCAAGGGGTGAAATTAGCGTGGTTGAGAAAGGAAGGCAATGTGAATAACTTGTAACAAGGTTTGGCCAACAGACAGGATGAATGCTGGCAGAAGGGACACAAAGGGGATGGGGGGCAGCAAATATGTGGTCTAAGAAATGCATGGGTCATGGTATTCAAGGCATGAACTCGTGGCCCATAAGCTCTTACCCCTTCCCCAGAGCATAGAAAGCGTGTGAAGACATATATTGTCACCCCTTTGCAGATGTGGAAACTGAGGCTCCAGTGAGTGACAGGACTTACCAAAGGTTCTTCAGTAAGTAAATGGCAGAGGCCAGAGACTAACCTCACTGTGCCCAACTCCAGCACTCAGGCACTTTCTCCTAAAGCACCATGCAATTCTGTGAAGGATCGCTGGAAGGCACTCAAAGGTCCCTTCCACCCTTGCTCAGTAAATCCTGTTGCCTGTCCTCCTGGCAGGGAAGTAAGGATTCAAGACACTGGTAGGTGATCTAGGCAGAATCCCATGGTAATGATCCAGTTCAGAGAATTCTGCTAGCCAGACCCCTTAAGTGCAGTGTCTGTCTAGGAAAGATCCTTATGCTCCAACTTGCCTCTACCACGGGAATCATGCTATGGCAGAAAATCATGGCTTGAGGATCTTAGCTTTATGCGCAAGGAGGAACATAATAGTGATCCAGGCTGTTAGGGTCAAGATTCAAGTGTAACGTTGTCCAGCCAGACCAGACCCTTGCCATGACTCAGTGTGAGGCCCCAGGCTGGAAATGGCTCTCTGAACACATAGAAGCTTGCCAGAAAGGTATTATCTGTGGCTTTACCACAGACCTACCTTAATTGAGTCAAATTAAATGGTACAAATTGAATTAGTTGGGTTCTGACTTTTAAACAAGAATTATATGATGTTGGCACACATTACAGTTTTCTCTAAGTTAAGTTCTCTCAGCCTGGCATTAATAAACATTTGGAGTCAAATAACTCTTTATTGTGGGTGCTGCCTATACGCTGTAGGACGTTAAACCACACCCTTCACCTCTACCCGTGGCATACCTGTTCCCACTACAATAACCAAAAGTATCTCCAAATAATGCCAAATGTCCCCCGGTGGGGCCAAAACCACCCCATTTGAGAACCCCTGTCCACAGTCTTGACTTCACAGTAGAGCAGATGTATATATCTGTAAGCAAATGTGATGTGTGTTTTGTCTGGGGAACCCATATCTTCTCAATTTCCTTGAGGGGCAGAAAAGGTTTGTTTTTGTACCTGCCAAATGTGATCAACCAGTCAAAAGGACACAAAACCTAACTAACTGCATTGTAAAATATAAACTATGATTCTCTTGGTTTTGCAAAGGAAAAAAAAATCAACAGGATCTCTGAGTTAAAAGAAAGCTCAGTGGCCAGGCACGCACCTTTGCAATAGAAATTAGGCCTGTATTCAATCCCAGAGAGTTTTGTTGCTCTATAATGAGAAGACCTTAGAGTTAGGTTACTTGGGTCTTGGTACTAGCTCGACCTTACTCTGTGACTTGGGACCCAGTCAGTGCTATACTCTCTGGGCCTCAGTTTCTCCTATGCCCATCTAGCTGATTCAGGTTCTTGCATTGTCTTTCAGCACAGCTACCGCGAGGTGGGCATCTTACTGCTATACCTGGCCGTGGGTGTGTCAGTGTTCTCCGGCGTGGCCTACACTGCGGAGGAGGAGGAGAACGTGGGCTTTGACACCATCCCGGCCTGCTGGTGGTGGGGCACGGTGAGCATGACCACGGTGGGTTACGGGGATGTGGTGCCGGTGACAGTGGCTGGCAAGCTGGCGGCCTCGGGCTGCATCCTTGGAGGCATTCTGGTGGTCGCGCTCCCCATCACCATCATCTTCAACAAGTTCTCCCACTTCTACCGGCGCCAGAAGGCTCTGGAGGCAGCTGTGCGTAACAGTGGCCAGCGGGAATTTGAGGACATCCTGAGTAGCATGGATGGGGTGTCTGAGGCGTCGCTAGAGACATCCCGAGAGACCTCACAGGAAGGACGGTCTGCAGACCTGGAGAGCCAGGCCCCCAGCGAACCTGCCAAGTCTCAGAGTTATTAAAACCATAGTTCTGCATCCCCGGTCCACAGCCAGCTGGAACCCAGCAGAGCCCTCCCTGCCTAAGTTCCTCTCATGACCATTTGTGCCCAGCCCGAAATCAGACGCAGGGACTGCATACTTACTTCCAAAGGCCCAGGGTGGTAGAGGACAGTGTGCCCACAAAGTGGCTCAGAGCCATCTGAGAAGCAAGCATGAATCAGGAGCAAGAAGAAAGCAGGGGGGTGATGGTTTTGAGTACCACCTGTGACTCTGTGCTGGAAGATGAGAATCATCCCCATTTCACGCATGACAGAACTGAAGCCCAGAAAGGAGCAACAACTCACACAACATGGCATAACTAGAAGTTAGGGAGTCCGGTCTGGAGTCCTTGCTTATGGTCTGCTCACTCTGTCGTCTACCCTCTACAGTTTGCATGTGGATTTTAGGAGGGGTATGGATCCTAATGTACTAACCATCTATCAGAGGGGATTGGGACACAGGAGCCCTGGACCCCAGCTGTGGCTTTCCAAGTGCTTCTAGCAGGAGTTAGCTTTCAAGGGGGAGTCCTTGCTGCCTCCTTAGCGGCTCTGCGAGTTTGCTGAGGGATCATCTCCTGCACGTTCCTCCTAGGGCTGACTTAGGACAGAGCAAACCTGACAGGGTGCTGCCTGAGTCACAGATCCAGCTCTGTACCTGCTGTGGGAAGTGAGCCAGCCCTGGGCTCCCACTTCAGGATCCCAGGCCATCCGTCAAAGGGTCTCGGTCTGTGACCCAGAGGGAGGTGAAAGCCAAATGGGGCTGAGGAGGCAGCTCAACTCTGAAATGTCGGTGACACAGGACTGCCATGCATGAACCCCCATTCCAACTTGGCAAGGTCCCTTCTGCCCACTACACACACCTCTAGTCCTGCCTGAGTAACCATCCAAGCAAACGCTTGAGACTTAACATCCCTTTTAGTAAGCTATGACCCTGTCCTCCTTGCTGGGGGTACATCTTTATATTCTCCTGTCAAATCTTCTGTCCGCTGGCTGAGCAAGGTGGAAAGGGTTCCCAGAGCCCTTTCATACAGCATGGCTAGAGCACCAATCACCATGCCGCCATGGCCTGCCTGGTTGCTTCTGTCCCGTCACACTGGGCCTCAAAATGGAAGGCACTGTGTAGCTGAACCCCAGACTTGCAAGAGGATAGGACTTTAGTACATGTTGTTTACATCAACCAGTTCCTACAACCTGTCAGGCTTTGAGGGCAAAGAGGAAATCACCAAAGACCTTCCCTTAAAAGGGAAAGAAAGGTTTATTCAATTTGGCCTCCTTGGCCCTGCTTGGTTTTTGAAGTTTTTTGTTTGTTTTTCTTACCATAACCCTCTTATAAGGTCTTCACTCAGTCATTTAAGAACAGAGGTTTTATGTGTGGGTTACAGACAGGTTTTCGTGTAGTTTAAGTTTCTGAATTTCTTTGGAGGAGGTCTGTGCACTCTGGTTTCTCATAGCCTCTCCTCTGTCCCTACAGAGACACATGCCACCATGTTATACCCACCCACCCACTTGTCAGATTTAGCCTCCTAGTCTCTGAATTATTGACTCTTCATTAGATCCAAAAGATAATAATGGCTGGGTCTGGTGGTACATGGCTATAATCCCAGCAGTTTAGGAGGTGAGGGCATGAAGATCACAAGTTTGAGGCCAGCTTGGGTAAAAATATAAAAACAAACTAGGGATTTCACTCAAGTGGTAGAACACTTATTTAGCAAGCACAAAACCCTGGGATCAACACCAGTATCAGAGGGAGGGGAAAGAGAGGGAAGAGATGGGAGAGATAAGAGCAAGGGGGGAAAGAGAGGGAAGGAGGGGGAGAGAGAATGATGGTAGACAAATCAGATATTGCTATACTCATGATGCTACTTGAACTAGTAGGAAATAAAGACTTTAATCCACTAGTTACAAAACTATCCACTGGTGAGCTCAACTAAATACAGAGAACTATAAGTACATACAATGTATCAGGGTTTACTACCCAAGATCGAAGACATCAAGTAATACCTAACCTGCCATTGTAAGGATGAACAGCCAAGTAAGCAAAGGAGATTTGGGGTGGGGAATGGCATGTGGATAGTACATGGTGGGCTGCCAATACACACGTGGTGTCCAGATTGAGCAGGGGCAAGAGCTAAGCCAGAGCAGCTGTCAGGAGCCTGCCTCCCATACAGGCCTTCCTGCACATTCACCTCTTCACAACCAGTCCAGCTGTGACCAAAATGAGGAACAGAGGTATTTGAAGGGCTTCATGCATCCCTCCTTTGATTTGACCTAACACACTGAGAAGCCAGATGGCTTCTAGACTCCCTGCAGTCTCTAATGCTGCTGTGGGAACAGCTCAGGGAAGAATCATCCGACTCAAGTCCAACACAAAGTTGTGTGCAATACTGGCCCAAATGTCACAATTCTTTCCCACCCCAGTGTATTAAAGAAATGCATCATGCAAATAAAGAGCCATGCCTAAGTACCTGTTTCTGTTTGAATGGAGTTGCTTCTGGGTAGCTGGGGAGGGAGGATATGCAGAGTGCCCTGGAATCCACATCTTTTGGGTCTGCTCTTAGATTTGGCCCACAAAATATGTTTGTAGCCAGTGACAAGAGGCTAGTTGGAATTAACTCAATTATAGTAAATAGTGGAAATGAACAACTGTTAGAATTAGGGTTATTTGGCTGCAAGCAACAGAAACTCACTGAATACTTTCAGCAAAAGTAAATATTTTGAGGATTATGTTCTCTTTCTGTTTCTGCCATAAATAATTACCTAGCTAGGTTCTGGTGTCTCATACCTGTAATCCTAGATATTTGGGAGCTAAAACTAGAGGATCATAGTTCAAAGCTAGCTTAGGCAAAAATGTTCCTGAATCTCTTAATACCAAGAAACCATCAAAATGTTAGACTGGAGGTGTGCTTCAAGTGGTAGAGTACCAGCTGTGAGCAAAAAAATCAAGTATAGCCCCTGTAGTACTAAATGACTTTAAGTGGCAGAAATTTATTCTCCTACCGGTCTGAGGTTCAGAAATTCAAAATCAAGGTGTTGGCAGCACCCTGATCATTTCCAGGGATTTGGGAGAATCCTCTCGACTCCTCTGGATTTTGCCAACAGTGGCATTCCATGGCACATAGCTCCATCTGTCTCTGTCCATGGTGTCCTGTTATCTTTACCTCTGTGTGCCAAATCTCTCAATAAATCGTTCTCATAAGGACATTTGTGATTTTATTTAGGGCCTACTTCGATAGGCCAAGGTGGCCACTTCTCAAGATTCCTAATAATATTTTGCTAAATGACCCTGTTTCAAATAAGGTAATATTTACAGGCTGTAGAGACCTAAATGTGGGTACATGTTTGAGGTCACTGGTAAGCCTACCACAAAAGGGTGTATGAAGTTCATCCAATCAAAGAAGAACCGACTGACAAGGCTTCAGGAAGTACAGAACTTTTAAGAGTTACCTACACCATGAGTTCTTGCCTCTTTCAGAGCCCTCTGAATATTATGGCAAACTTCTGAAAATGAAATGCCAATGCCGGGGTTCTTGCCCCTCTGTGTTCTTTCTCCACTCTAAAATTAGGAACCCACTTCAAATTGCAGCTTCTCCCAACCTGCTACTCCTGATCTAGACTTTCTTCAAACCAGGGAAAAGCATGCTGGGTTCACTGGAGGCCATAGTAAGAGAATTAGAGGGGAGAAGTCGCAGTATAAAACTCATCTAGCATCTTGTCTTCAGAAATCTTTTATCCTCTTCCTGTTTACATGAGGCCAAGGGATTTGAGCCCTGCAAGCTCCAATTTCTGTGGGCCATCATTTGGTCCAAGTTTGCATTAGCCAACTCATCAAATTGCCTAGAGCCCAGCCAGCTCTTGGAGCTAGCATAGAAGGCAGAATCCCTGCTAAGTGCATCCATCTCAAGAAGACCAGCCTGGTCCAAAATTCCACTTCCCCTGCATGAACAAATACCACAGAAATCCATTTCCACAAAAATTCCCCACGTTTCCAATGACATTAATTAACAAGTTTCTACAATTTTGTATGGATCCAAGGTTCTTTCCTGCTCAGTTTACTTTTACTCTCCAAACCAAATTGGTCCCTGGCTCCCAGCTAAGCAGCCCTGAGGAGTGGAACAAATAGGAAGTCAGGAGGTTTCTTTCCTCTCTAGGGTAAGTTGTGAACGACTTACATCAGTGTTTAGAGAACCTTGGTTTTTTTTCTCACATGCTCTCATGCTGCATGAAGTGCAACATTGAACTTCATAACTTCAGCAAGACTGAATTCAGGAACCTGCACAATCAATTTTGGCTATTTGGAGAATTCAGACTGCAAGTCATGAATAGCTTTTTTTTTTTTTTGGTCAGTCATAGAGCTTGAACTCTGGGCCTCGGTGCTGTCCCTCAGTTCTTCAGCTCAAGGCAAGTGCTCTACCACTTGAGCCACAGCACCACTTCTAGTTTTTCTGGTGGTTTACTGGAGATAAGAGTCTCACGGACTTTTCCTGCATGAGCTGGCTTTGAACTGAGATCCTCAGATCTCAGCCCCCTGAGTAGCATGAATAATTCTTTCACCTTGATCACAGGAATGAAAAATGCTTCACTTTTCATTTTGTGTTACTATTTGGGTTTGCTTTATTGATTGACTCTTTTACATTGCTCTATGCAGTTACTAAAAAAACATTTTATCACACAAGCTGGGCATTCCTCACTTAAAATTGGACTGTGATGGATGCCACAACCACCCGCAGAAACCAAATGATAACAAATAATACAAGAGATAGCTCCTCATCCACAGTCTGCCACTTTACCAGGCCAGAGCATGAGATGAGCACCCCAAGTGAGGGGATATTGTGTCCATGACAATTTAGCAGTCACCAAATTGATCCTGTTACTGCTGTGAACCCAGCAGTTCCCAAAACAGGAAGGGTGGGGTTGGAGATGGGGCTCAGGTGGTAGAGCATCAGCCAATAAGTCAAAGTGTCAGGTACAGAGTTGGAGTTCTAGTTTCTGACCCCCACCCCCCCAAAAAAAAAGAACAAAAGAGAAAAGGAACTTGGCAG